GGTCCAGAAACGTAGTAAGGACATCGGTAAAACAGTCCATGTGACATCAGTGGCTCAACTTCAGTTTTGCGAAGCTACGAGAATACTTTTTGAGCGCAAAGAAAACAAAAATAACTATTTATTTAACAATTCTTCTCCCCCGAGTTACGTCTGCCGCCATTTTAGAGAGTATCACAATGCATACGCAAGCTTTCCCCCCAAGGAGGGTGAGTAATTAATGACAGAATTTTCATTTTGGGGTGAACTATCCCTTTAAGTATTGTTATTCTCCAGTTCTTTAGAAACCATCTATGTTCTGGTGCTTTAAAGACGACAAAACCTGTAACGACCCTTTTTAATAAAGAACTAGCTTTTCGATGTCTTGATCTGTCTCTGTATTTCCTACTTTCTGCTTAATCGTTCTGTGTCTCTCTGTTCACACAAGGCATTGGCTACAGCCTGTTGGTCTGTGCTAAAAGCCAAAAGGAGATTGCTAATGGTGAGTGTGAAAAACAAAACATGACATTATATGATCTAGAATCAGACCACACCAACGTGTTTTGTGTTTGTTGCTCAGGTTCCTGACGGTTTTATTGCCCATTTCTATGCCATCTCTGAACACGTGAGTCCAGTTCTGGCTTTCGGGTTTCTGGGCCCCCGGCAGCACCTCAGTGAGGTGTGCACCATATTCAAGGTAAGACCTTCTCCGTGTTCTCCACGCTCCTCCGTTATACCTGAGCTAACCCTCCCGGTGATCCAGAAACTCCTGTAATCCAGATCAGCACATAATCTGATGCTAATCTAATCTCAGTGACACACTTGATGCCTGCGATCAGATCATGGACACGCTCAGAGAATAGATACAGAACTTAAAAAGGTCTTCAAATTCACGCTTCCACAAATTAAGGCCTAAAAGAGTCTTAAATTCATAAAGTCGTGGCTTTAAATGTTGCATACACATCCTTAAATCAAGATACATTTACTTGAGATGCAAAATGAAAATATGAACATATATTTTTTCTCGTTTTAATCATAAATTCAATTCATTTTGATCAATTTCTCATAAAGACTTATTATTTATGCCATTTTGCTTCTCAAATAAATTATCTTTAGACGTTTGCACTGGAAAACAAGACAAAAATACAGATTTTGCAGTCTTATCTATCCATCCATCCATCCATCCCTCCCTCCCTCCCTCCCTCTTAGGAAACATTTATAAAATGCAAGTATCATTTATTGTAAAGAAAGACCAGGTTTGTTTGGTTTGAAATGCTAAAACAATCAAACACGTTCAAAAGGTTGAGTTTTTTCAAGTTTCTTCTGCTCACCAAGCTGCATTTATTTGATCAAAAATACAGTAAAACAGTAATTTTGGGAAATAATATTACAATTTAAAATAACAGTTTTCTATGTGAATATCTGTTCAAATGTAATTTATTTCTGTGATGCGCAGCTGAATTGTCAGCATCATTACTCCAGTCTTCAGTGTCACATGATCCTTCAGAAATCATTCTAATATGCTGATTTGCTGCTCAAGAAACATTTCTGATTATTATCAATGTTGAAAACAGTTGTGCTGCTTCAAATTTTTTGTGGAAACGGTGATACATTTTATTTTTCAATATTCTTTGATGAATAGAAAGTTCAAAAGAACAGCATTTATTTGAAACAGAAATCTTTTGTAATAAAAAAGCCTAAATAAATAAATGTTACGAATGTCTTTACTGTCACTTTTGATCAATTTAACGCATCCTTGCCGACTACATACATCCACTAAAAATCACCCAGACACCAGTTGATTGAAAAACATCGAGACTTCAAACACGATGAACTCAAGTTATATCTAAATCTGATTTAAATGAAGGTTTATTAGTCTACTGTACTCTGTGGTTACACATTCTCCTTTGGTCTCCACAGCAACAGATTGTTCAGTATCTGAAGGACATGTTTGACCACGATAAGGTGCGTTTCACGTCCGTCTCGTCTCTGGCCGAAGACATCCTCAGTCTGTCCCACAGACGAGCGGACATCCTGGTGGGTTACCTGGGCATTGGCAGTCAACCTGAGACCAATGGAGCTTTACCCGAGAGCCCCTGCCAAGCCAACAGCGGACAGCAGGACTGAGGTGCACAATCCTAATCTAACCTGCTAGTTTTAAACGAGACCAGACACCAGGTCTCACTTAGCTATTCGTCACGGTCGACCAATCAACGGGACTATAAAGTACATTCATATAAAAGATTGATTATTCAGACAGATAAACCACTACAGACTCACCTGAGGTCAACCGAGGCCTTTTCTTGATCTGCTTCTGCAAATTTGCCACCGAATATCCAGTGCTGCTATTTAGACCCCTACATTTAAACAACCCCCCCCCCCAAGAACCCAAGAAGGAACTGAATGAAACCATCTTTTAGCCAAACATGCAGCCTGGTGTTGAGTTGCAGCTCTTCTGAATCAAACCCACACCGTATCGATGATGCCTCCTACGTCGAAATGCTAGGTTTTGTTTGTTCTACGGATTTTCGTGTGTGAATGCGTGTCGTTGAGCGCTTGTGTTTGTGCCAATGGCCAAATAACGTCTTGCACTGAATCTTGGGTAGCACTGAACACAATCAAGAGAGAGAATCGAGACAGATTTGTGAACTTCAGTGTAAATCTCTCAGCACATTTTGCCAGTTTGAGAGCGTTTCGAAGAGAGACTCGCACAGGAAGTGCATCATTCAAGAGTAAAACAGGATGTCGTGGTCTGGATCACACTAGCTGAGCTCAGTTGTGTCCTTTGTTCTCACCCTCACAATATATTAGTCCCAGTGTTCATCAGAGCGATATTTAATAAGACATGTAGGCCTGTTGGTTTGTTATATTTTCTGTCATCATACTTCATCCTTGATTTATATACCTTGTTTTTGTCCTTCATCGATATTCAGGACTAAAATAGCCAATCTACTATTCTATTATATAGATATTCATTATGTATTATAAATTTAATACAGCAGCAGTGGTATTGGGTCAAATAGGTCACAATTGTAGCGCACAGTTAGGTGAGTAGGAATGATCAATGCTAATTTCATATATGTGCTTCGACTTGTTAGTTCAGTCCTTCAAGCTGTGGTTGTTAAACTCAACATCTGTGCCATTGTGATCATTTTGACGCCGCCTTGATTTTGTGAAAACAACAATAAGATGCATATTTCGTTACACTTGAAGTCTATGGGGAAAATTGCCTCATAGATTCAATTAAAGTGGATCTTTTTGTTTGTTTTTGAGTTATTTGTTCTATACAATATTGTAATATAGTATACATTTCTTCTGTGGCAGTGGCACAGATGCTGTTGATAGAGTTTAAATTGTATTCAACCCATGAGAAAAAATTCAAAACAAACAACCAAACAGCATCTTGCAGGTTTTTGATTGGCTTAAACATATAGTCATATAGTCATGACCTACAAAAACATATATTAGCGAGCAAAACCAGCTAATAAATGCGCTACAACTTTTAGAAACAATTCTGGTCATTTTAAACTGAATATGCATGAAATGTCTACAACAATCCTCAAAATCGCTGAGCCTTTACAAAACTTGACCATGTTCCTTAATTGTGCACAGGAGGCATTTGTGAAATTAGGTGTTAGGATCATTATAGTGTTTCTTTCCTCCTCATATTGACTATTTAAAGTGTCTTGCACTTTATTTGTTCAAAATATATAAACAGATGCTCATTTTCTCTATTTTGATCAAAATAATAATAGAGTTGTTAACTAGCTTAAATGTAGTGCATTTGTAATTTTTTTCTGTTTAATTACATTTAAAAAAAATTTGGACAGATGTGTAATTTATATGAAAACTGAAATGTATAGGTATTTAAAATATCAACATTGAGGGGTTATGAGTGATTGGTTGTGCCTCTGTTATTATCTAATATTATATATGATTTTTGCCTTTATTAAATGTGCTTTAAATACACAAGTGCACACACACTTTAGACACACATTAGATCTCTGCCCTGCTTAAAATTAAAATCATAACCAGAACTATCTGCACCAACTTGGATGCAAAGATATAATTCTTAATAATAACTTATAATGATAACTTTATTTGCCTGATTATTATTGTTAATTGAATAACCAAGATTGTGCTCCTCAAATTTCATCATAAATTGGGTTTATTCCTATTTAATTTTATTTTCAGTGTTCAAATGTGAATTTGTAGAAATGTCTGATGGAGATATGCATGCAACTTGCATTAGCGCAACAAGACCAGACTGAAGGTATAAGTGAGAAATGTTTGATTGCTTTGGTATCATTCCAATGTGTTTTAATGATTAAACTTATCCCGACACACTGTTTAATCTGCATGAGTTTGGGTGAAGACATCATGAAATAATGTTTCGACTTCTGCTGCTATTCCCCTTTGTTTTTTAGTTGTTAAAGCTCTGACACAATCACTCATTGTGTCCGTGTCCCATTTTTGAATCACGTTGGTCCATCTGAAGATTTTTGATTTTGATGTGATTATTAAAGATTCACCAGTGTGCTAAAAGAGTGATAGTAACAGATGCTCTGATTTTTATATGAACGACTGATTCAAAACAAAGCACCAAATTGAAGACAAACGAAGGTGAGGTCTGTATGAATTGGGGGTTGTTATTTCAAGTCACAGCTGCTGTATTTTACACCCAGATAATTCATTAAACAATAAAGGTTTATATCAAATGTTTTCAGTAGAATTGGGTGTCTAACGATGGCCAAAGAAGATGAACTGGGGTGGTGGAAAGCAACTCAAGTCTTTATTTCCTTAATATTTACTTGGTGTTTGTGTTCTTCACTTGCCTTTGTGTGTTTTTTTTTTCCTTGAATGTACTTACAAATGAATGTCATTGTATTAGTTATTATTGAAAACTGTATTGTCATTTTGCCTTCCCTAGCCAACATAAAGTCTTTTTTTTTTTCCTATCTGTCTTTAAAATGTGTCATACTTATAATTTTCGTCTCAAACTTTTCAGGAACAATCTTTAATTAGGAAAAACCATCTGAATATGACTGACCCAAAGCATTATATATGCACATTTTAGTACATTTAATTTGGTCTCTGTGGCTGAGAGGGTTAAAGGACCTTAAAACTTCTGCAGCTTTGAAGCTCATTGGATTTAAAGGCAATCTTTAAATTTTACAATCTTAACATTTTAATTAACCATAATTGATTGCTATTTGCAATACATGGACTACAACTTTTGTCCAATTCGAAAGTACACTGCTGTTCAAATGTCTGAGATCAGTAAGATTTGTAATGTTTTTGAAAGAAGTCTCTTCTGCTCACCAAGGCTGCATTTATTTGACCAAAAATACAGAAAAAAACAGTAATATTGTGAAATATTATTACCATTTAAAGTAATGGTTTTCTATTTGAATATACAGTGTCACAGTGTCTTCAGTGTCACATGATCCTTCAGAAATTATTCTAATATGCTGATTTATTATCAATGTTGGAAACGGTTGTGCTGTTTAATATTTATTTTTATTTATTTATTTATTACAAAGATTCTTTGATGAAAGAACATTTATTTAAAATGTAAACATTTTAAAATATATTAAAATAGAAAACCATTATTTTAAATTGCAATAATATTTCACAATATTACTGTTTTTTTCTGTATTTTTGGTCAAATAAATGCAGCCTTGATGAGCAGAAGAGACTTCTTAAGAAACATTACAAATCTTACTGATCCCAAACTTTTGAACAGAAGTGTAGGTAGTTGTATTCCTTATTTAGCAGCTTATTTAGCAAACTCAAAATCATGATTGAGTTATGACTAAGTGTAGTCTACTTTATGAAACTGTCTTCAAGTAGCCTAATGATAACCACAGATCTTATTTTATTCATATCCAAAACCTCTATTTTAAAACCCCACAGAAAAATCCTGAGGGAACACCAATGGCTTGAATAAATTTGATTAATAATAATAATAATAATAATAAATTAATCCAATTGGTCTCAGACTTTACATATATATTACATTTTTTTATTGACTTTTTGAATTGTAAAAGCGTTTCAAAAAGTATGTAATGGACCAGAGAGTGTGTGTGGCGCTGGCTGCCTTCACGTAGTTGATATCAATTGAAGAGGAATCTCCCCATTCACTTAATTTTTCTTCTTTCATTTGAATAAATCCAATTTTCATATGTCCAGCCAAACGTCCTCTGATTGGTCCATCCCCTTAAACACACGCCTCTGATTGGCCGGCTGTTCCCATGCAGTTTTTTTTCCTTTGAGAATGCGCTTGGTGAATGGCTGCGCGTCGTAACAGCGTCCGGTGAATCTGATTGGTCGAAATCGTCGGGGCGTTTCATTCTGATTGGTTGACGACCGATGCCCGGTGTCCGGGTAAGATGGCGTCGGAAGAGCAGTGCTCGGCACCACCTCGATGGCGGTCGATATCCTTAACCCACGTAGAGTATCCGGCTGGTAAGAACATTTTTAAATCGTTGTTTTCCCCGCAAAGCCGTTCGTATCATCACACGACACTTTATTCGCGCCGCGGCGTCTGTGGAACATCGCGTAGCTGAATGGACGCGGCCAGGGCTGGGTTGCCAAATAGTGCGCTTCACTCCGCAGGGAACGGAACGCCTGCTGCCAAATAGTGCGCTGGTAGTCCTGTACGCTCCCTAGTACACCACACCGCGAGACCCTTATTCAGTTTCTCTCTTTATTATTAAAACGTTAATCTAATTCAAGCATGAATCGATAAGCCTGTGACCAATACTAGCATTATATGCAGGTGATCGCGTCTAATACAGGCACATGAGACCCAACTGCTCCTGTAAGTTTCAGGCAAGACTCGTGGCTCTGGTGGGTTAATCCAGTTCATTCCCGCTTGCATCACACCCTTTCTGGGTCCCGTCGTTCGTGAGGGTCCCCCTGGATTTGGAAGTATATAAAAACCCTGGAACATGTCAAAGCAAGTCTAAAATACACTGCGCTTATGCCAAACACAGAGAAACGCTACGGGATATGAAGAAAATCAAGAACATCTTCCGTGTTTAAACTACTGTCACATAACGTTAGTTGGATGTGTTTGCATGCATGGTGCATGAGGTGGTAAAACATGCCAGTATACGTATACACAAGATAAAGCAAGCCTGTATGTGCAGTTTGGCAAATGCAATGCTGGCTTGACATGCAATCAATATTTCTCATATGCATATATGAGAAATTGTTCTCTATTGGTTGTGAAGTGGCCCACTTTTAGTGCTCTATGCTCAGGGGAAGGTTTTTAATACAATCCGAGAGTGTTCTTCTGAATTCTCTGCCATGGATAATTCATTACTAATTCCTGCACTTTCTCTGATCATTGTCCATTTGCTCATGGCTTGAATTATTCATAGGACCTAATATTTTGTAATTTAATTTATGCTTTTTCTCCACCATTTAAGGAAAGATTTTCTCATTTTTATTTATAGCATTTGATGAAAATAACAGTATTGACAAGAAAAAGAGAACTTCTCACTGCTCGTGATTGTGTTTTTACTAATTATGTGAAACATTACTACAAAAACGTATATAAAATATATTAATATATATATATATAAGTGCTTTTCAATAGTTTTGGATCAGCAAGATTTTTATGTTTTTGAAAGAAATCCAATTTTTGTATCTATTTATTTGATCAGAAATACAGTAAACATTTTATTTTATATTTTTATCATGGATTTTTATCTGCCTTGAAATAACAGTTTTCATGATGTGACTCTTATTCATGTACGTCAATCTCTCACCTGACCTGAGAATTACAGTAATTACGATATTTGTAAAAAGCATTCATGTCCTCGTAGAACTTATAATCACAATTTTTACAAGCATCTCGGATGACATGGGGGTGAGTAAATTATCAGTAAATTTTTATTCTGGAAGTCAACTAATCCTGCTTACATTGTTTTCACCAGAAGTTCAAGTTATGAAATTTTAATTAAACATTATTAATTAAATTATGATGTCAAAAAAAAAAAAGATACATATGCACGGATGAATTGTTCACAACATGATCTATAACATACATTAAAGGGGTCATATGATGTTGCTAAAAAGAACATTATGTTGTGTATTTGGTGTAATGAAATATGTTTATGCGGTTTAAGATTTAAAAAAACACATTATTTTCCACATACTGTACATTATTGTTTCTCCTCTATGCCCCGCCTTTCTGAAACTCGTCAATTTTTACAAAGCTCATCGGTCTGAAAAGCAAGGTGTGCTGTGATTGGCCAGCTATCCAGTGCGTTGTGATTGACCGAATACCTCAAGCGTGTGACGGAAATGTTACGCCCCTACCATACTGTGATGATGCCCTGTCCGGCCGGAGCTACGAGACATAAACATTAAAACCCATTACAAACGAGGCATCCGTTGCATCCAGTGAGGACATAATTATGGATTATAATGGCTTATATTGTCTTTTTACGCGTTGCATCGTGCCGTGTAAACATAAAACCATGTCTGCATTTGTGATCGGAGAAATGACAAACAACAAGCCCTACTCTACACTGCCCAAAAAACTCGCTTTAAATATAAAAAATATAAAAACTCTTTCAATATAATTTATGCACCAAGAGCTTGTAACACTCCAAAGAGAAAGGAAAAATTGAAATCGCATCATATGACCCCTTTAAAAAAATAGATGGGGTGAATTTTTATTTCGTGCCAACTTTAATAGTGTTTCCACTATTTTAACGCATAATTAAGAGTTTAGGGAAGTGAACAGCTCTGAGTCGAATGTCCCAGGTTGTTAGTAATTAAAGTCATTTTGGCATGGCGTGAATGCACAATTTAATTCGCTTGAGTAGTGTCCATTTATCATCTCAGAAATAAAAATTTTAATCCAAGTTTGTCTAAATATGTCTGACTTTGGCAGTTTGGTTTAATGAGTCGTTTTTGCAATTGCATAGCACAGAGTAGCCGTTCTGAACAGAGCCCTAGTTTGTTTTGACAGGCTCTAAATTCTCTAAATTACTCAGTTTTACTCTGTTTGTTTGTCCAGGTGATCTGACGGGGCAGGTATTGGCCTGCATGAGCCTGTTGCCCATCGCAATCCTCGTCGGATTTGTCACTCTGATCGTCTTTAAGCGAGAGCTACATACGGTGAGTCACGTGACGTCACACACCAGCAGGTTATAGGGTCAAATCCCAAACCGCATGCTACCTTGTGCTTATTGCGTTTTTCATCCCTTGTGTGCATTCTCTCTCTCTCAGATCTCTTTCTTTGGGGGGTTGATCATGAACGAGGGGCTAAACTGGCTGCTCAAACACATTCTACAGGAGCCTCGGCCGTGTGGAGGTAAGTGTCGTCATCGGCGTGTAGTTTGTTTAAACGAATGGCCATTAAAAACTCTAACTATTAGTATATTTGAAAGAGTATCAGAGTTTAGTTTGAGGCTGTGTTTCTGTGTGTAGACTGCTGTGAGTTTTTCCGCCAAAAAACGCATGTAAAAACAAAACAAACAGTGCTTTATTGATTTACATGTTGGCCAGACGGTCTGAGTAGGCGGTTCTTGGCCAGAATATTCTGGACCAGACTTCATGCCAGTAGACACAATACTGGCAATATCAGACTGTGCGCAAAAAACAAAATGGGTAGTTCATGAACCAACCCTGGGGCTTGACCTGCAACCTGTCAGTAACCAGCCCAGACCGTTAACCTTTATGCTGCAGTGCCATTCAGTGAGGTTTAGTGAGATCTATTATATTTCTTACTAATATTTTGAATTAAAATTAATTTTTATATTTCCTGTTTTTACTTGAATTTTAGTTAAAGTTTTAGTAATTTTGTTGTGTGTTTTTGTCATTTTTATTCGTTTTTCTTTTTCATAGTTTTTTAATGACATTTTATTTATTAGTTTTAGTTTATTTAGTTATGGTTTAGTACTTCAAGTTGAACTATATG